AGGAAGCAGGCAAGGGGCAAAGATGGAAAACGTAAACAGTGAGGCCCCAGAGCCGAGCTGCCTGCCTGGAGCAGTTAATCACAGCACCTGGCATGCGCTGAGGGCCTACTGTGTGCTTGGTGCTGGGCCACAGCCTCTACACACATGAGCTCATCTGATCCTCTCCCAAATCTACCCGGATCACCCCAATTTTACAGATGTAGAAACGAGGCTCAGGCAGCGCAAGCTGTTTTCCCAAAGCCACACCGCTAGGACATGGTCGAGCTGAGATTAAGACCTCACTGGGTTCTCCCCTGGCCTGGGGGCCCTGGGTCCACGGACTCCAACCCAGGTAAGAGAGGGGAGGGAGACACAAGGCAAGGGGCTCATTCTGGGCCTCCAAAAAAACAAGGTGGGGACTCAGAGCTCCCAATCCTGCAAAGTTGACCCCTGAGCACCTGTCCCAGCAACCCCTGGCACCTCGGTAGTAGAGAAAGGGGACAGCCAGAACTCCTCATTCATCTGTCATGACCCTGCCCCAGCCCAGGCGCCCCGGCCCAACCTCCCTTCCCGGCTCTGTGCGGCAGGCACTCGGGATGGGAGGGGAAACATGCTGCTTTACCAATGTCGGCCTGTTGTCTTTAGGACAAAGATGTGTCTGAGTCAGGTACTATGATCCACACTTCATAAATGAAGAAACTGAGGTGCAGGGTGGCAGTCCAACTCACTAAAGATCTTAGGAGGTAGCAGAGCCACACTTGATCTAAGGAGAAGTCAGAAGAGACAGGGACCAAGGGAGAGACCAAGGGGCAGAAAAGCACGGGGCCTGAAATAGTCACGAAGAGGCAGCCTGAGGCTGGTTACATGCAGGGGACAGGGTGGGGGAGGGAGGGCTGGTCAGAGACACAGCAGGGTACGAGCCTGCTGAAACCAGGACCAGGGAGAGGTGCAGGCAGGGAGACAGGGCAGGCTAGGGAACAGACAGGAGGCCGTGTGGAAAAGCATCGACTCCATTCTCCTGCTGGGTTCTGGGACAGGCAAACGAGGAAGCCCTGGGCCATGCAGAGGGAAGATATGCAGGGTCACCTGTCAGAGATGGGGGTCTGCTAAGCCCTTCACACCCTGCCCTACCCAGTGGGCCACCAATGGGAACTCTGAGATGCCAACCCTGCTCAGGGCACTGCCCACCCAGAAAGAGGGGCTGTCGGGCTTCTGCTCTGAGGACCCACAGGGTCACCACACTGGCTGAACTCACACTGTGGGACTAAGGGGTGATGCTCTGCCTGGGGACCAGATGTCCCCAAAATCCTGCTCATACTTCACAGAAGCCTCGGGAACCATAGACTGTTTGCTAAAAAGCACAATTCCCAGAGGCCCCTCTTGGGCATCCAAAAGGATGAGTGGGCTTCTCAAGTGGGTCCGTGAAGGAGGGAGAGGGCCAGAATGTGGGGGAGGCAGGAATGGAGGGTGCTTCATGATGTGGGATTCTGAGGTTCTTTTTTCTCAGCCCCTCATCCAGGTCAGGCTCTTCCCTCAGCCTCTTAGTTAGCTACCCACCCCTCATCCTTCAGCTTCTCAGAGGTCTTCTCTGAACTCCCTGACTAGGTGAGACCCCACACACATTGTGGGCTCCCAAAGCCCCCACCTACTCTTCCATCGCCCTCAGCACAAACACAAGTTTGTTAAATGACTAGCTGATGTTTGTCAGTTCTCCCACCAGGAGGGCAGAGACAGTGTATTTTTTTCCTCACCATTGTATCTCAGCATCTAGCCCAGTGTATCCATAGAATTTTCTTGAATGAGTTAATTCTTTTCATTCCTTCACAGACAGCCAATCCCTTTTCTCAAAGCGGGCAAATGGCTCAGCTACAACACTGTTAATCCTCACCACAGGCCCGGACACACTGTTGCTATTCCCACTTTACAGGGGAAGAAATAAACCTCAGAGAGGTAAAGTCGCTACCCCAAACACACGGCAACAAAGTGGCTTTGAACTCAGGATTTAAACCTAGATACGTCTGGCTTCAGAGCCCCAGCTCTGCCACTACATACCACCCCGCTTGCACACCCCAAGGGTTTCTCTGGATCTTCCCTTGGAAACCTGCCCCTGCCCCCAACTGTCCGAGCTCAGGACTGACAGGCAGAATTCATTCCTTCAACCATTCATTCATTCAACCAATCAACTGACCCACCAAGTCCTGCATGGGGTGCCAGGAAACCAGATAGATCAGGGGCTTCTCTCCATCCTGGGCTCCCCTCTTTCCACTGCTCTTGGGACTTTGCCAGCAGAAGCAGAGCACCAAGCAGCTGCCCTATCCTTAGCCTCAGTGTCAGTGAGGAAGAATTCAATGCCAGCCCCATCATTACCCCTCCCCCCAGGACAGCAGCCTAAAATACTTGGGCCAAATAATGTGTAGGTTCACAATCCTTTTGTCTCCATTGTTCTCAGATGACCTAGGACATGAGGAAGGACAGAATTCTGCCCCCTCCTCCCATGCAATTCTTTGACTATCGCCTACCCCAGGCAGCTCTGGAAAAAGTTCTAGACTTGAAGTCACAAGACCAGGGTTTTAGTTCCAGGTCTGGAGCTAGCTGTGGGACCTTTGGAGAACAAGTCACCCTGCCTCTCTCTGAACCACAGATTCCATATCTGCAAAATGGAGGTGATCATATTGAGGATTCTAATGCCCATCCCACAGGCTTGTAGGTGAGGATTAAATCATTCAGACCCAAAGAGACAGTTATCACATACATGATTGGCCCGGGAAACGTCTTAGCAACACGGGAACCTCTGGGGGCCAGCTATGTTGCTTGCAAGATGTGTTTGATAATGGGATTTGGGGAAGGTTGGTTGGGAGCAGTTCCAGCAAGATGAGCCCAGAGCATTCCCCTAGTGGATCCTCAGAAGTGAGGGGCCTTCCCCTGGCTCACTGGGAGTGGGGGAGCTGTGCTCATCAGCCCAACAGCCAGAGTCCCCGGAGAAGAGGCTGGGAATGGGACTGAACACACTGACACAGCTCTCCCCACTCTTCAGCACCTAGAGCTCCCCAGAGAGGGTACGTGGGCAGAACCTGGAACTCTGAATCTTAGCTATCCTCAAGCCCACTTAGGACAAATGCCTCTTTCACCCTCCCTTCTTTAAACGGCACTAAATTCTAAGGGATCTGGAAAATTCCTCCTCTTCGTCACACAGACAGCTTCCATTTGCTGGGTCCAGGCACCAGGCCAGCTGCATTTTATATGTTTGTTCACTGACACTTCACAAAAACCCTGTTGAAGAAGGTTCTATTATTACCCCATTCTATAGATGAAGAAACTGAGGCTCAAAGAGTCAGTTATGTACCCAAGTCACAGAGCCAGTTCACGGCAGGGCTGGGATTCATACTTAGGTTGGCCCCACTCTGAAGCCTGAACTACCTTCAAAGACGAAGTGGGGAGAATCAGTGACAAAACACACAGCAAAGATCAATCCTGCCTGTGCTTGGGGGAATTTTCCCACTGTAGCTGGTAATGAGTCACTGAAAGCACAGGAAATTCTTGTGCCCTTCACTCTTCCTGGGGGAGCAAAGATGCCAAAGCCCCCTCAACACCCACACACCCATCCAATGCTCCAATGCATGACACTCTGTCCTGCAGAGATCCCAGACTCTGGAATTCAGACTCCCACCTGAGGTGACTGGGTCTCTATTCTTCAGACAGGGAAACTGAGACAGATGTAGCAGATGGTGGGACAGGGGGACTGGGGTGCCCACTGTGATGGGCATCAGTGACCGGGGGGAAGACCACAGTTCATATCTGAGTCCAACTTCCGAGTCCACAATCTCCCCTCTGCCCTGCTGGGTGGCACCACAGCCCAGAGAGGTTTGGGGCTGTGCCCTCGGTCAACCAGCATGGAAGACCCTTTTCCAAGTATCAGTAAATACAAGGGCATCTTTGTCGTTATATGGATAGGAGTTTCCTTTCGATCCTTCTTGCCCATGTCTGAGCTGGCAGAACTGGGTCAGGAGGCTGCTTCCAGGCAAGCTGATGATGTTTTAGATTCTCTGAGAAAGTCCCAGCACTCTACATAGATACCGAGAAGAGAATTCCGCTTCCTGAGATGAAAGCACAAACTCCACTCGCGCCCAAACAAACCAGTGCTGCCTCTAGCAGAAAGAAAAGCCTGTTCGAGAAGAGGAGAGAGTGAGACGAAGAGGAGAGAATGAGACGGGTCATTTGTGAGGGGCTGAGACTTCGCTGAATCACTTCCAGAGCTTGAGACCAGATGGCCACCGAGGAGGGAAGCAGATGACTGACTGGCTGGCCCACAGCCCTTGCCCGCTGTACCCAGGAGCCGTGGGCTCTCCCTCAGCAAACGCACACACAGGTGCACAAACCCAGGGCTCCAAAGCCACTCCGGGAGCTCTCCTCCCCCGCGGGTTGCAGGGACTTGACAAGAAACAACACAGTCATACAGTCACAGTCTCATACAGAGAGACTCACCCACTGACAGTGTGGGACAAGCACACGCCAACACAGGACCCCCAAGAGATGGTCATCAAATGGGACTTGGGAAATGTCCCCACAGCATGGTGCAGACACCCACGCGCTCTCCCGTCCCCCCAGCCGCACAGAGAGCCGGCTCCCCAGAAGCCCACTCCCAGGAAGTTTTTAGAGGTCCAAACACTCGATACATTTGTACTGTCACCAACACAAAACCACCCACTCGCAAACTGTAACAGACACACTGTCGCCAAACTATCCCACATAGCCTCATGCAGAAGAAAGGGGATGCGAACAAACGATCAAATGTCATTTAGTCACACACACACACACACACACACACTCTCTCTCTCTCTCTCTCTCTCTCTCTCTCCAGCGTTCTTCCCTCAATGAAAGTGGTCTCCTCGCTGGGCCCCAGGCTCCCCCTGCAGGAAGTGCGGAGGCGCGGGGAGCCCGGGGTCCGAGGTCAGGGTCCCTGGTCCGAGGTCCCCACTCTCACCCGGGGTGGGGAGCGGGGGGACAGGCCGCGGACGACTCACCGGACGATGCCGAACATGACGAGCACGTTGCCCAGCAGCCCCACGGCGCACACGGCCGAGTAGAGCGCGGTGATGGCGATAGCCAGGGCGAGGGACGAGGCGCTGCGGGCGGCCGGCGGCCCCGACGCATTGGCGCCCTCGCTGGGGAAGGCGCTGGGGAAGGCGTCCGAAGTGTTGGCGAGGAGCGGGGGCTGCAGCGCGGCGTCGGCGGAGGGGGCCGGCTCCATGGCGGCCGCGCGGCGGGCGCCGCGTCCCTCCCCGCCGTGCGCCCTGGGCGCAGAGACCCGGTGCGAGCGACGCGCGAGGGCCGGAGGCCGCGGCCCCGACGCCACGGGCTGCGGCGCCCCGGCCACCCGGCCGGCCCCGCGCCGCCCTCCGCGCCTGGCCGCCCGCCCCGCCTGCGCCCCCTCCAACCCCAGCGGCCGCCCGCTCTCCCGGCCCCGAGCGCTCTGAGCCCGAGCCGCTGCGGGCTCCTCGGACGCGCCCGCCGCGCGCACCACGTGGCCCAGAGGAGGCCGCCAGTCTGCGCCCGCGACCAGGGGCGGGCGCTGCACCACCGGCTTGGAGCTGGGCCGGGGAAGCTTCCCACTCCTCCCTAGGGATGCTCCGCGGGCTCGGGTGCACCCCGACCCCGGCCAGGGGTCACCTCCTCACCCTTTGCCGCTTTGGAGTCCGAAGGAACTGGATGTAAATTCTGCGTTTCGCCCCTACTCTAAGGAACAGAGTGACCTTGAGCAAGTCACTTAAGCTCTCTCAACCTCATTTTCCTCGGCTGTAAAACGGGGATCCTCGCACCTCCTCACTCTGAGTGTTGTTGTGGAGAGGAAGATGACCCGAGTAAAGAACTCAGCTCCGTGCCAGGCACACAGGTAGGTGCTCCATAAATAACATTATCAGCCCTGATTTTCCTGCACCCTATTCATTTGCTCAACAGATGTTTTGGGGTGCCGAATATAAGAGCCGGGTACTATTGGGGAATCCATCCATTAGTGAAAAAACCCAGATGCGGAGCCTACTTCCTGGGGTTTACAGCCCTGTGGCCAATCAATCCTAAGATCACACTACTGAAGACAAAGTGAAGGAAAGCAAGGCAAGGCATTCCTGTGGCGGGGCCAGGAAAACCCAGAGGTCAGCATGTGAAGTTTGGGGAGGAACTAATTTAGTGAAGAAACAAGTAAAGGGCATTGTAGACAAAGGAACCACATGTAGCAAAGACCTTGTGGTCAGAAAAACTAAAAGGAGGTCAGGAAGAGGACAAAGCAGGGAGCAAGTGTGGGGAGAATGGGACGATGTAGTAGGCAGGGTCTCAAAGACTATCTTAAGGATCACTGGGCTGCTGTAGGAGCACAGGAAAGGGGGGGGCACTTCCCTAACCTGACCAGCCCAGACCCAGAGCCATCCTCCTTTTTGGGGCTCCTGTCCTTCCCAGAACATTCTCTCTACCAACCATTACTCTGTTCCAGGCCCTCTCTCTACCAACCATTACTCTGTTCCAGTCACTGTGATAAGCACTTTACTCATGCATCAACACTTTGGAATAGATTCTATTATTAGTGTGCCCATTTTACAGTTGAGAAGACTAGGCTAGGTACTATTTTACCCTTATGATAATTATTTCTATCTGAGCTTGTTTCCTCCTTGGGAAGACCAGACCTGATCTATCCCTACACCCAGTAGAGGGCCAGGGTCACAGTGGGTATTCAGGAAATACTGGTTAAATGAACAGAAGTCCCAAGGGGGAATGGAATGGGACAACATTGGGGTTCCCAAGCTCTAGATTCTGGGGAGATGCTCTTGGCCTGTGAGCAGCTGAGTAGGGACCTCCACTCACATCACTCTCCAGCTTGAGTCATCCATCTATGTGCAAGGCTCTTACCCTTTCCTAGAAAGAACAAAGCCAGAATTCCCAAGTTCACCCTCTTCTTTCTCTTTGCCTCTCCCAGCTGCTGTCCAAGCCCCTCTACCAGCCACAGCAGATTCCCACCCCAAGGCTTTCCCCTTTTTCAACCATCTAAGGACTCATCAGGCCATTTTTTAAGGTTACTTTATTCTTTTTTTTTTTAAGTAAACTCTACACCAACATGGGGCTTGAACTCATGACCCCAAGATCAAGAGTCGCATGCTCCACTAACTGAGCCAGCCAGGAGCTCCCAGATAGGCAATTTTTGCTCTATGGTCACAAGGGCTGCCAAAACTTCCTTGTCCCAAAGGGCCTGGTACTCTGGTGCTAAGGGGGAGAAACTGGGACAAGGAGGAGGACTACTTTTTAGAGTTGTGTCCCCCTCCCTACCTCTCCAACAAGCCAAATTTTTTCCTACCTCAGGACTTTTGCACACTCTATTTCTTCCACTTGGAAATCTCAGCCAATTCTCCAGGCTAAATGCTATCCATCCTTCAAGTTTCAGCTTAAATATTACTTCCTCCACGAAATCTTCACTGACTGCCCCTCCCAACTAGAGTAAGTGCCCCTGATAATTTTTCTCGTGGCATCATGTACCTCTTCTTTACAGAATTTCCACATATTTATTTGTGTAATCATTGGATTTTTGTGTATCACCTTTACAAGAGGTCTTGTGCATTTCTGTACCCCCATCTTAGTACAGTCCCTGGTGCTGGATGAGTAACTGAATAGGAAGTTCAAGTCCAACTTTGGTGAGCTCCCATTTTGATGAGGAAGACAGATATCACTTAACATAGGGCCTAGGAATCCTTTTAAGCAACTATCACCCTTTGCATAAATTCTGCAACCACATCTTGTTTGGAACTGAAATACTAGTTGCCAGCTCCACCCCCCCCCCTTGGCTTTTGGCTAAGTCTACCCAACTCCTTGGCATTGCACTCGGGGCCCTCCCAAGTCTGGTCCCACTCAGGGCATACTATTTCCCTCTGCTAAGTCCATCCCTATCCCCACCCCAATGGTGTGCTCCAGCCATACTGGGCCGAAGGGAATTTTTAAAAACTGCATCTACAGTGTTTTTTTTTTTAGTTCCTCCCAGGTACAGAAATGCTCTGGTGGAAAGCTGCAGCTATGGTGGAGGCAAAAGACAGAAAAAGAGTCCCCTTGGGGCGCCTGGGTGTCACAGTCGGTTCAGTGTCCGACTCTTGGTTTTGGTTCAGGTCATGATCTCGGGGTCCTGGGATTGAGCCCCAAGTCGGGCTCTGTGCTCAGCAGGGAGTCTGCTTGGGATTTTCTCTCTCTCTCTCTCTCCCTCCGTCTGCCCCTCCCCTGTTCCTGCTCTCTCTCTCTCAAATAAATAAATTTTTTTTAAAAAGAGTCTCCTTGGGGCACCTGGGTGGCTCAGTTGGTTAAGCGACTGCCTTCGGCTCAGGTCATGATCCTGGAGTCCCGGGATAGAGTCCCGCATCGGGCTCCCTGCTCGGCAGGGAGTCTGCTTCGCCCTCTGACCCTATCCCCTCTCATGTGTTCTTTCTCTCTCATTCTCTCTCTCTCAAATAAATAAAATCTTAAAAAAAAAAAAAAAAAAGAGTCCCCTTAACCTCTCCGAGCCTTACTTTTCTCATCTATAAAGTAGAGGTACAGGATTGGGGTGAGGGTTTGGCCAAACAGCAGAGGCTCTGCCAACCAAGAAAGGCTCTGTGAGCATGAGCTACTATGTGGGGATGAGTAAGACCACCGCTCTCTTAAAGGAGCTCACAATCGAGAAGCTGGGAAAGATATGTAAATGACCAAGTGCATGAGCAAAATAATTGCTAGGAAAACATGCGTGCTGCTACGGACTGCCCACTTTTTTTTTTTTTTAAGATTTTATTTATTTATTTGACAGAGAGAGAAATAGCGAGAGCAGGAACAAAGCAGGGGGAGTGGGAGAGGAAGAAGCTGGCTTCCCGCCAAGGAGGGAGCCCGATGTGGGACTCGATCCCAGGACCCTGGGATCATGACCTGAGCCGAAGGCAGACGCTTAACGACTGAGCCACCCAGGCGCCCCGGACTGCCCACTTTAAGAGTTTGCTTGCTGTCTCTGCTCTCTCATGGGAGAATACAAGTCAGCGGTCTGCAACCCAGGAGAGGGTTCTCACCAGGACCCGACCATGCTGACACCCTGATCTCCGACTTCCAGCATCCTGAACTGTGAGAAATAAATCCCTGTTGTTTATAAGCCTCTCTGTCTAGGGTGTTTGGTCAGAGCAGAGCCCAAACTGACTAAGACACATGCCAGGTGCACATGAATTGCCCCCATTGAGGACACTGAAAAAAGCATGGAAACTTGAAAGGCATCTAAAGGGGTGTCCCCAGTGGCCTCCCTAAGTGAGTGGTTTGAAGAGATCAACTCTCACTTGAATGTGAGCATTCTGGTCTATCTATCTTTTTTTTTTTATATATATTTTATTTATTTGACAGAGAGAGAGACACAGCGAGAGAGGGAACACAAGCAGGGGGAGTGGGAGAGGGAGAGAGAGAAGCAGGCTTCCCGCGGAGCAGGGAGCCCGATGCGGGGCTTGATCCCAGGACCCTGGGATCATGACCTGAGCCGAAGGCAGACGCTTAACGACTGAGCCACCTAGGCGCCCCTGGTCTATCTATCTTTAACCAGCAGTCTCATTTCCATGGTCACAACTCATAAATAATCCTATTGGCTACCATTTATAGAGAGCTTGCTATGTGCCAGGCACTGGGCCAAGTGCTTTGAGGAGTATCTCATTTAATCTTCAACAGCCCTCTAGGCGTGAGGTTCTACCATTAGTATTCCATTTGCCAGAGACTAGGTTAGCTGCCCAAGCCAGAGCTGGGATGCCAAGCCAGGTGTGTGTGACTCCAAAAGCCAGTCCCCTGACTACCACCCTACGCCGCCTTTCAGAGCGAAAACTAGAAAGTCACCCCCCAAAACACAAGAACCCATCACTTCTGTCTCTGCTTAGCAGAATTTCTCCACTGTGGAGGGTGATGAGTCACTTGGAGCCCAGGAGATTCTTGAATCCGACCCTGCTCTTGGAGCAGAGTAGACACAGCCCTCCACGCCTGGGTCACCAAAGGGTTTGGCTCTCCTTGGGGCTTGTCACCATCCTTGACATCAAGGGAAAAAAAAACAAAACAAAAATGGATGGGAAATCCTAGGCCAATCTAGGGCATCAGCAGGCATTAGCAGTGGAGAAACAGAAATCACTGAAGGAGTCAGAGCAGAAAGGAACTCCCTGGGGAAGCTATTAACAATTTAGTATGTGGGAATGTGGCTCCCACCTGCCAAAGAGACAGATCTGCCTGATGGAA